CTAGCTGCGAGAACGGTGTGCGTCGCTAGGGTGGGTAATTTGCCATACAGATGTCACAGATGTGGGTTCACTGTGTGAGTCATGGATATGGATGTGTGCTGCTCGAGAACGCGTATGGTGTCTACTTATTGTGCGACCTGGACGTCTACAGGTGAAATCTGCAACGCGTGTATGTGAATGGCATGTTTTCGTGGTAAGTTTAAGGTTGCATGTTATTCATGTTATGATGGTGTATGGCACGGGATGGACTTATTGATTTGCCACATTGGTTTTATGCTGCTGGTGTGGCTGAGTGCTGTCTGGATCGTTATGATGTGATGGAGATGCTCGGTCCTGACACATGACATGCAACATGAGAAGTAAGCATGCAAGTTACGAGTATGTAAGCACTTGGCATGCCCTGAATGCTTCCGTCCTTGATATATGGCCTTGGCATCTGGGCACATACATGTGTGGCTGCTGAAGGTGAGTGCAGTTATGATAGTGGTGATGTTTGTTTATGTTGTTTAGTATTGTGCATGCGAATGGTGAGCGTTCCTGGTGTACCTCATGGTCGTCTGTTACTCATGTGCATTACTGATATGTGCTAATGCTGGAATGCATTCATGTGATATGGATGGAAGGTACTTGGATATGTCATTGGTGCCTGGTATGTACATCTGCTCTCGATGCGTGCTCGTTATGTCTGTGTTCCGTGCATGTTGTTGGCACATGTTGCTGATCTAGGTTCGCCGTACCTGTCATGGATGCGTGTGCTTATGTGAACTAACGGCGTGCACAATACACAACATTATTTTGAATTTTCTACATGATATTTTTGTGTGGTATAGATGTATGATGTATACCACTGGCGTGCATTACCAGCATCTGAAATCAAGGTCTGTGGACGGCGTAACATTGTAACGCCTTGACGGCGGGATGCCTGTCTGATGAGGCTCGCAAGGCGAGATCCCCAGGAAGCACGCTGGTATCTTGGGGCCTGGCGGCCGTAATAATTATGCTGGGTGGACGAGGCGGGGCGTGAAGCTGTGACGCCACCCTGTTGGGGCTCCGCGAGGCGGGATCCTCGGGGACGACCCGGTCCTTTTGGCTTTCTTGGGGCCCGTGCCACGGTGTGCTGGGTGTGGGCCGTCGGCATTCTCAAGGGCTCCTAAGTTCGCGCTTCGCGCTGCGCGAAGCGCGAATAACTTCGCGCTCTCGCGCCGCCCCCCCCCAGGGGGAGAAGAGGAGGACGAGGAGGAGGGGGAGAAGGAACGAGGACCGCGAAGCGCGAAGCGCGAATAACTTCGCGCCCTCGAGGGAGCCCTTGCATTCTATGCATGCCCCTGCCGCTCACGTCCCGACCCCGCGAGGGGCCGGAGCGGCGGCGCGACAAAAACTCGGCCTCAGGGGCCACGCGCTCTCCCCCACGCCCTGCTGCCCCCGGCGCCCAGAGCGGAGGGCAACAGCTGACTACCTACCAGACCACCCCAACCCAACCCGAAGACCCGAATTTCGGGTTGGGGGGGGTAAGGGTTCCACACGTGTTTTCTCGATGTTTCCCGACCCCCCCCCACTGGAAATCGAGGGTAAATCTGAGCCTTCGGGTTGGGTTGGGGTGGTTTGGTGGGTGGTGAACAGCAGGGGCACGGACATGGGTCGGACGTCGATCGCCGAGCGTGGGCGAGGCGGGTCGGAGGCTCATGTCTGAAGAGCAGCGCCAACCTGCCGGGCGGGGGGAGGGGCCGGAGGCGCCGCCAGGGGTCCAGGGTCGACCCGAGAAATCTCCGCGCGGACCTCTGACAATGCTCCAGAAAGAGCCCAAGGGGGACACAACAAATCTACTGAAATTGCAAGATTGTCCCTATAGTTATGCATGGATGCCGGAATGGTGCCTCTTCCCTTCCATGTCCCATGATTTCACATCTCATCACGGTGCTCGTCCTTGTTAGTGCCTGTGCTGAGGGCTCCCTCTTGAGTGTTGTGCTTCTTCGAGGCAGTGTCGCGTCCTGGGCCACGAGCCTCGCTCCACCGTGCACGAGTCGCTCCATGGACACCCGCAGGCCCCTGGCTGCGAGTTGGACCGTGGACGTCTCGTGGCCCCTCGGCCGTCGGCGGCCCTGGCAGTTCTCGACGGTCTCCGAGTGCCCTCGGTGGCATCCGGCCGTCTTCGGCGGTCCTCTGGCCCGATTGCTGCGCTCATCCCTGGGGCCCGTCGCCGAACACCCAGTCTGGGGCATGTCGGGCAACCTCTGGGGAAGCTGGCGCGCTCCCTGACAGAGCAGTCCGTCGCATGAGCAGTTTCAGAAGGCGCCTCATCGGAAGATGGATCACCCGAAACGAAAACGGACGAAGATAAGAAGTGATCCAGCAGTTCATTGGAAATGAACAACTTGGATACCTCATAGTTGGCGACGCGTCGTGGACAGGCAGCGTAACTGGGTGCGTTCAAGCTCTGGCACCCCGCTGTCGTGCCACACTTGTACTGCCACAAAGTCCAGGACCTTCAGAATCGATGGATCCATCGAAACAATGTGGCCTGAATCTCCGCATCTATCGAAACACCGTGGCCCTCCACCGTGGATCCGTTGAACAACCACTCATGGATCTCATCCTGGATACGACAGTTTGTTGACTTGACGACTTGGGTCGGGATTTCTGACCCCCGCATGAAACAAAGACGCCCACGGCGATACAAACATCGAAAAACGATCGAAACGATAACAAAAATGAAACCGACCGAATCGGATGGATCGACGGAAACATAGTACGCGGACGCAGCGGTGCAGCAGCCGGCCGACCCGAACCAACTGGATGCAAAACTGATTGCGAAGCAGCCGAACAGACCAAACCGTGGACACCCGTGTGAACCGCTCAACCCTGAACGGTTCCCTCTCTGTGGGGCCCCCAAGTGACTTTTGACCCCAACCTTCGCGCGGATTTCCCCACTGCGAGCCATCCCCGGTGGGCGGGGCTCCCCAACGCCCCCCTCCCCGGCCCTCCGAGGGCCCCTGTCCGTGCCCCGCAAGCGGGGACCGTGGCAAACCGGGACTGTGGCACACGTCGGAAAACTGCAGCCCTGGGCCGAGATGCCCTCGGTTCCACCGTTTTCTCCAAATAAGCTGTTCGAAATCCTTTCGGGCGGGTGGCGATGGGGGTTGGCCCAGATGGGGGGGCGAACAAGAAAACCCCTTAAAGGGGCTCCGTTCATCAATTTGCCTCTGTGGGTCAACCCACGATAATGTCAGCTTGTGGTTAACACATGCGCAACTATCCCCCCCCCGGGGCGCGAAACATGTTTTACATCACGCGCGCCAGGGGCCGTCGCGGGCGCCGCCGAAGGGATCGTGTCCCCCCTGTATGACCGTGTCAAAACGCTTGCCTTTTTTCGCACGGGAACTGTTATATGAGATCGTGCACATCCGAAGCGTTTTGTTTCCTCCCTCTCAGGCGTCGTCGCCGTCGTCGTCGTCGTCGTTACCACCGTCGTCGTCGTCGCCGCCACCGCCGTCGTCGTCGACGTCGTCGTCGTCATCGTCGTCGTGGTCGTCGACGACTACACTAACCACGAAAGAGGGGGGAGGAGGACTGCCCGTTTTGCTCGGGTCGTCGTCGTCGTCACAGGACCTGCGCATACCCCCCCCCCGAAGGCATCCGCAATGCGTTGCCGCTGACGTCGCCGTCGTCGTCTTCGTCGCCGTCGTCTTCGTCGTCGTCGTCCGTCGTTCCGTCGTCAGCGGGCCTGTCTGCGCAGCGCCCCCCCCCGCCCCCCCCGCCCCCCCCCATGGGGCATCGGCAGTGCGCGTCGTCGTCGTCGTCGTCGTCGTCGTCGTCGTCGTCGTCGTCGTCGTCGTCGTCGATTACAGCTGGCCTGCGCACCCCCGCCCGTAGGGCATTCGCAAGGCGTCGTCGTCGTCGCCGCCGTCGCCGTCTGCCGTCCGCCGTCCGCCGTCCATCGTCCTCGTCCTCGTCGTCCTCGTCGTCCTCCTCCTCGTTGTCGTCCTCGTCTCCGTTGTCGTCGTCGACGACTACAAAGACCACCACAGCAGGGGGGGGGGCTACCCGCCTTCCGCGGGTCGAACGAAAGGCCGGGTAACGAACAGGGGGGTTGCGAAACCTGCTGTGCGCAGCTGGTTTCGGTCGCCCCGCCGAGGAGCCAGTCCTCCATACATGGCCGCTTTCGGCGCCAAGGGGCGTTCGGAAAATCAACAATGTGAGCTGCTGGGCAAATCCTCGCTTGGCCACGCCCCCCTTTCGTCTAGCCCGCCTTGCTCGCGGGACCGCGAAGCAGCTGGCGCCCCCTTGGCACCGGCCAGGGCAAAGGCAGCGCACCACTTCGACAGAAAGCAGCACGGAAAGTGCGGGGGCGAGCGCCGACGGCAGTTCTTCTTCATTTCGAACAGGTGTCGCCCTGGCCTGGCTCACGGTCCCTGCTTCTGCAACCTTTGCCTCCCGCCCATTCCCCTCCCCCAATCAGTGCTGTCTGTCGCCTTCTCGCTGGCGGCTGGGCGTCGGCGCTATTCACGGGCGCCGCCGCCGTTGATTTTCAATCTGGCGGGCGCCACCCCGCGAATTCGCCCGAACGAGGGAACTATTGTTTTAACACGCGCCCACCACGGATGTGTGAACCACGCGCTGACATCACCACCCGCCCGATCCTGATTTGCCAAGTCCTGGCTCCAGTGGCCCCGACCTCAACCTGGGAGCGACGGCGCCTCCGCCGCGCCGACATGGCGCTCACCTGCCGTGGCCAGCCCGCAGGGGCCGACCGAGGAACGCGCCGCACCGCCGGCGCATCGCCGACGCATCGGCGACGCATCGGCGATGCATCGGCGACGCATCGGCGGTGCCTCGCCGCCGTCGGCGTGGGGAAGATCGGGCCCCGCGTCGGGACGCATCGCCGATGCGTCGGCGATGCGACGCGGTCCTCCGACCCCGTCCACTCGGCCCCCATCTGGGAGGCCCAGAGCCCCTGCGCTCTGCCCGCCCCTCCTCCCCGCCCGGGTCGGCCGAGGGGAGTCCTGCGAGGACGGGCTCGTCGGGGGGCCGCGCGGTGTCACGCACCTGGGGCCCGCACATGCTCTGAGCGGGGGAGTGCGTCTCTCGTGCTCCTTCGCCACCCTCCCGCTCCCCCCCTTTTTCCCCTCCACCTCCTCGCCCTACCACCCAGACCCCTCCTGCCCTGGCCTCCTCCCTTCTGTCACCCCGCTCCCCTCACCTCTTGTGCCCGCCTTGCCCCCATCCTCTCTCTTCCTCTGCCCCGTCCTCCTCCCCGATCCTCCTCCTCCTCCTCCGCCTCCTCCTCTTCACTGCTCCTGTCCGCCCTCCTCCTGCCCGCTGCCTCCCTCCTGATGCCGCCTTCCTCCTACGGCCATTCCTTCTGCTATCGCCCATTTGCAACTCGAACCTTACTGTTCCATCCTCCCCCTCCTCCTCTTCCTCCTCCTCCTCCCGATCCTCCTCCTGCCGAATTCCGCCCTCTCTTTCCTCCTGATCCCCACCCTTCCTGCCCCGTATTTCCTCGTCCTGGCCTCTCCTCCAGACCCCTCCTCTTGCCACAATCCTTCCTCTCCCGAAGCAATTGCAAAACAACTCACATCGCCATTTGCAACCACGCTTCAGGGCAACGACACCAGCATTCCATCCCTTGCGGGTCGGCGTCTGGCCGGACGCGCGGTGCGTTTCCGACTCTCCATACTCGGGAGTCCTTCTTCATCCTCCTCCTTCCTCTACCTTCACCTCCGTCTTCTTCCCTCCTCCCTCACCTCCTCGTCTTCCATCCTCGCTTAGGGAGAAGGGTGCCGATGGGAACGGGTCCCGACCCCAGGGGCTGGAGGGGGCGGGGCAGGAGCTCCCCCCCTCCCCAAACTCCAAACCCTCTCGAAAAAACGTCACAAAATCGCGACGGAAGTTTCTCGCAAAAACGTCACAAGATGAAACGCCGGCCCATGGGAATAGGTTGAAACCTCTGGGCGTCGGCGTCATGAACGAATCCGCCGACCCCATTGGGTCACGGCGTAGGAAATGCTCAGTATTCCACCGCCCTAAACCCCCTCCCCCGGGAGCCCGGTCCGGCCTGTTTGGAAGAGGGGTGGGGGGGGGGGCGGGGGGCAAAGGTCTCATCGGGCCCCACGAGGCCCCAGAAGGCTCCAAGCAGCCCCCACGACGGCCCAAGAGGCCCCTGAGACGCCCAAAGACGCCCAGGATGGCCCCAAGACGGCCCCAGAAGCTTCCTAGACGGCCCAGGAAGCCTTCAAGAGCATTCCCAAGAGGGGCCCAAGAGGCCAAAATCGTCGAATTCCGATGTGGATACATACTCTTCGGCCATCACGGTGTTGAAGACGGCCCCAAAGTCCCCCAAAACCGCCCCAAAACGGCCCAAGCGGCCCAAGAGGGCGCCAAGACGGCGAAAGAGGCACCCAAGACGGCCCAAGAGTGCCCCAAGACGGCCCAAAAAGAGGCCCAAGAGAGGGAGCCTGAACCAACAATCCGAGCCTTCCGCCCCAAAACGGACCCAGGGGGGCCCAAGAGGCGCCCAACAGGGCCCATGAGGCCCCCAAGAGGCCCCAAGAGGCCCCAAGAGGCCCCCAAGAAGCCCAAAACAAGCCCCAAGTACCATTTGAGGCGTGTAATTTCTACCACCAGGGCGCGCCCCAAGAGGCCCGGCATAACCAAACGTCGGCCCCTTCCCGGAGGGAAACGTCAAAGTTTACCACATTCGCTTCTCGAGCTTTCATGCGTCCCACAGCAGCCCCCAAAAAACAGCCCAAATCAACCCAAACGCTCCCGCGCGCACCCATGAAGGCTTCAGACGGCACAAACGGGCCCCGACGGGGCCCCCGAAGCCACCCGGGAGAGCCCCAGGACGGCCCCAAGAGGAGGGCCGTAAGGGAAACCCGAATGGAGAATCCGAGCACTTCGCCCCGAGACAACATGAAAGGGCGCCGACATGGACCCAAGAGGCCCTCACGGGGATCCACAATGCCCCCCGAATTATCCCGGGGCCCGGAGGCGGCCCTTCGACAACGAAAAGCACGAACAAAAACTGAAAAGCCTAAGGCACTGCAGCCAAATTTTCTCTTTTCCCCACGCAGACATCGTTCGCCACGGGCCCCCCGGACCCTTCCCTCAACCCAATCGAAGGAAAGAAGATTTCGTCGTCGCCGCCGGTGTCTCACAGATTTTCGACCCGAGGCATTTCCTCGAATTCAGCCTCCAGGGATCGTTTTCGGCGCTGGGGACCACCGCCGAAAGTCCGGGATGAGGATCGAGCTCCCTGGCGGGTGCCACCGCTTCGCAAAGGAAGGAACACGAGGTGGATCGAGGCTCGAGGCATGAGACTCCTAGTTCTTGGGCGCTCTCCGCCCCCTCTGGGCCTTCAGGAAGCTCCTCGTCGACGCAGCTGGGTCCACTCTCGAACTTCTGGCCGGACGCAACCCCAGCTGGGTCTCAAAGATCCCCAAGCCTGTCCAGGGGGGGAAGAGGATGCCCGGGACACGCCCCGTGAAGGCCCCAAGAAACTCACACAAGACCACGACAAACTTCACAACAATCCCCTAAAAGGCCCCTCCTTGAACCCCACACGCTACGTAGGACAGGCCGAAACTTCAAGATTGCCCAACGATCGCGCGCGTTCCGCGAATTCTGTCTGTCACTATTGCTGCCGCCCAAAGGGGGCGGCGGTGCGGCGTAAGCCAATGAATCATGACGTCGGGGTTCTGGGTCCACCTCGGGGAGGCGGAGGAGGACTCCAGTCAGCTTCCTCCCCCCCCACTCCTCCTGTCGCTCTTCCTGTACATCCGCCTCTCCGCCCTCCCTGCCCCCTCTCTCTCACGCTTTCCGTCGCCGACCTGTCCCTCCGCCCTCGAAAAACAAAACAGCTGCATTGCCACAAGGCTCTCAGAGGACCGCGCGGACTTCCTGGGTCGTCGCTGGACCCCTCCTGGCAGTGCCTCCGGCGCCGACCCACGATATCCGAGAGGACCCTTGCAATCAGGCTTATGTTGCTGCAGTTGTTTCCTGCGAGGCGGGGATATATCCACATCCACCACCTGTGGACCCGACGTTCTGGGACCCCAGCGGGCGGTGGATGTGGATAGATCTGGACCCCACAGGGCCCGAACAGATCCATATCCACCGCCTGGCGAGGTCTCCGAAAACCGATCCGCCAGGCGGAGGATGTGTGTGTGTGTGTGTGTAAATCCCCGCCTCGGATCTCTGTCTTCATGGGCCCCTCGCCTGCCGCAGGCGGGCGAGCCAGCCGCCGGAGCCGAGGGCGTCCCGATGGAGCCCCGCGCCGCGCGCCTCTCGGGGGAGGACTGTGCGCGAGGGGGGGGGGGGGCGGGCGGCGACGGCGGGGCCAAGGTCGGGGGCTCAGGAGGGGCGCTGCAGGCACAGCAGGAGCTCGACTACAAGAAGCCTTCCACAAAAAAACCCAACCCTGAGGTCCCAGGACGTCGATTGGTTTTTGGTGTCGGAGCGTCACGCTTTCCATGGCAGGACCATCGAGACCTAAGAAACCCAGGGCACCCTGGAGGCAAGCGGGGTGCTTCTTGGCATGAGTTTCCGCTGTGCAGGGACAGCCTGATTGCCAACTCCGCGGGAGTGGTCCCGCAGAGGGGCGGGCGGCGACCATGGTGAAGCATGCTTCGGCGGCGAGCGAGGGGGGGGCAGCGAGGTGGAGAAGGCTTTCTGAGAAGGCGCGGCGGGACTTCTCAGAAGCCCTCGCGCCTTCTGCTACATGTTCTGTGACTTCTCAGAAGGCCTGGGAGACGTCCGAGCCTTCTGATAAGGCCCGCCCCTTCACCACTTCCCCGGGGCTCGCCGCCGAATGCTGGGTGGGAGCCTGAGCGCTGGCCACTCACGTCAGATAGAGAAGACGTCAGGGAGGAGGGACGCTAGGAGGATTTACGCACCCCCCAAGCAAGGGGCCCTATGTGCACGCTGATGGGGACGCGTCGGCCGTGAGTGCTCCTGCAAAATGAGGGGCACGTGAAGTGTTTGCGACAGCTCTCATCCTTGAGCGTCGCATGGGGCAGGGCGCAGGCAAGAGGCAGGAGGGGACTGGCTCCGGGGGGGGGGGAGGCATCGACCTGGAATGGGCGAAGCATCGCCGAGAGATCGGAGACAAGCCCCCGAGAGTCCGCACGCTCCTGGGGGGGGCGTGGGGCTGTATCGTACCCCTATCGGCGATGGATCGCCGATTCGGGGTGGATGTCTCCCCCCCATGAACCGGTCCCCCCTCTCACGTAGCCCCTGACGGGGTGGGGAGAAGGATGGGCGGGGGCAAGACGGCGGCACCAAGCTCGAAAGCTGGCTGAGCCGAAAACGAAACCGAGACCGACAACCTGGAAAGACGCAGAGGCGCACCAAGCGACCGTGACCAGCCTCGAACTCAGTTCGACCAGCCCGACACTGTGGTCAATATGAAGTATGCCCCGTCAGAAGACAACAAGAGCCATCAATACCGACGCCGAGCCAAGGAGATGCCAATCACATTGCTCCGACGGAAGGACCCCACATGAGAATCCTCTGGGCGAATCTGGAAAAAAACCTCACCGTCGTCATCGTGGTTGGTGAGGCGTCCTGGCTGTCTCTTCTGCGTATAATTCTTCTGGCCCTGGCGCGGGCCCTCCCCCCGCTCCCTACGGTGCCCCCGACCTCGCCCTCCTGTTTTGGCTCCTCCGGACATTCAGAAAGTGGCCCGGGAGTGGTGTTCTGGGAGCACGAAGAACACGAAGTGGCCTACAGTTGGCTCCAGGCAGTCAAAATGTGGCCCGGGAATGGTGTTCTGGGAGCACGAAGAACACGAAGTGGCCTACAGTTGGCTCCAGGCATTCACAATGTGGCCTGGGAATGGCGATCTGGCAGCGCGAGAGCCCAAAAGTGGCGACAATTATACGAATTTGATGGCCCGCTCGGATTAGGAGAGCCCAACAGTGGCGACAGTTACAGGAATTGGACGACCCGCTCGGATTAGTAACATGATCCGCGGGCCCCATAGGGAGGGGACTCCCGCTTGAGACTTCCTCGCAATTCACTCACACATGTAGCCTGGGAATGGCGTTCTGGCAGCGCGAAAGCCCAAAAGTGGCGACAAATACAGGAATTGGATGACCCGCTCGGATTAGTAACATGATCCGCGGGCCCCATAGGGAGGGGGCTCCCGCTTGAGACTTCCTCGCAATTCACTCACAGACGAGGCCCAAGGCAAGTGAGTGAGTGAGTGAGTGACTGACTGACTGACTGGTGATGATGATGATCATCACACTCTCTCACGCGCACACTCATCATTATCATCATCATATGTGAGTTCATGAGCGTGTGAGTGAGTGAGTGCTGATGAGTGGGTGAGTGAGTGAGTGAGTGAGTGAGTGAGTGAGGAATGAGTGATGATGATGGTGGGTTCCTGTTCCTGCGCGGGGTGTCCAGAGAAAACAAGAACCCCACTTTGGATGTGGGGAAAAAACATATAAGGGTATGCTGCAGGCTTGTAAGACGTAACGGAACCAACCGAACGCAGCAGACTGCGAAACAGCGGAGGGTAAGGGGGGGGTAGGGGGGTGGTGCGGGCGAGACTCGAGGATTCATGCCCCGCCTCCTAATCAGTCCGCCTCATCCTTCCCTCTCTTCCTTTCCCTCCCCGGCTCCGTCCCCTACTCGTCTCATTCCTCTTCCTCCTGCTCCGCGTTCTCCCTCTCGTCGCCCTCCCCCTGGTTACCCTCCTCAAAGGGACGGAGAGAAAAGGAAGCCGACCAGCCACAGCTGGCTGCGATGTGCTCTTCCACCCGGGAGGAACACATCGCATCAGCGCTCTTGCGAGATGGCTGCGGAGGCCGACTGATCCTTCCGCAGGAGTGAGACCCGCAGCCATCCGAGCTGGAACTGGCCTGAGAAAGGGGGGAGCTTGAAAGACGTGGGTCATCGCACGACCCCCCGAGTGAGGTCCGTGATGTGAGTTGCCGAGGGATGCCACAAGCATGCCGGCCGCCATTCTACGGGAATCGATCAGCACACACACACACACACACCCTGCTTGATTATATACATCTGTGTATACATGTAGACGCACATGTGCACCATACCATACGATACGATGGCATCGGTATGATACCGGAGAGCGCGAATGGTCGCCGGACACCTGGTATAGGCAGCAATGGGAACGGGACGAGTGGAGGTCAATTCTGCATATGAGACTACAGGGGAAGGGAGCAAGGAAAATGGCAACTGCTCCCGACGTTCTTTTCTGGGGCACTGCCAGGAGCCCTGGAGACCTCCAGAGAATGGTCCAGAGGATACTGGAGCAGGAGGACGATTACCATGCGCAATCGCTCCAAGTTGAGGCCATGTTCAGCATCGGTCATCGCATCAAAGTACGTACCATTTGAGCACGCGTTGCTGAGTGCTAGAGTCCCGAGCAAATGCAGCTAGAACTGGGCATGAGCCTCCCTCCCCTCCTCACCCCACCTCAGCTGCACATCTGGCCAGATCCACCCGTGTATCTGGCAAACCCTCCACCTGAAACATCCAAGCCTCCTCCCGCTCCCTTCCCGCTCATACCCCCGAACATGCCCGCCGCGCCTTCTCTTGTCTCTCCTCCGTCGCTGGAGACGGAGGAGGAGGGATGGGGAAGCGGAAGAGTCAAGGGGGGGAGGACGCCCGACTCCTCATCATCCTTGGCCGCAGCGGGGCAGCGACGCACGAACACCGAGCTCATTTGCCAGATTATTTCTCTTCGTCCCCCCTCCCGCCCTCTCTCCTTCCTCCTCCCTCATCCCTCCCTCTGTTCAATCGATGCGTGGGCACCTGGACCTCTGGACCCCTTCCCAATGGCTGGTGTGTCGTCCCATCTCTTTTCGTGTTCACGGGCCATGAAGCCATACACAGATCCGGAGCCAGCCACCTCAATCTTTCGTGGAGCCAATCTTCCCCCACCCGGCTTCCTAGACAGCAAAAGAAGCCTTCCAGGCATGTAGGCTTACCTGGACTGCCGAAAGCCTCGACTGGAAATTTGATTCAAGGTCCTGGTGCTGATTGTTGGTAATCCTGGACGGTCGAAATCGAAAAGGGCAACGCTAGGGGGGAATTGATTCAGGGGAAGAAGACATCGGCCTGTAATTGTCGAAACACCGCCGATGGGTCGGCGATACTTCCCTCGACAACGAATCCGCATGCTTTTTTCAGGGAAACGTGGGTACAAGGGACTCGGAAATCCCCGACGAGGTCGTCAAAAAAATGACGAGGCCGAGCCTGCATTTTGACGAGGCCTCCCGCTGCAGACATCCCACGAAACTCCTCCTCGTCAAAATCCGAGGCGCGGTCGTCAAAAAACGATGGCGAACCCGAGTCCTGGCAAACCCGGGTCTTACGCTCCCCCGATTTTAGGTGGGGTGGACTATCGGGCCCCTACTGGCCACGACGGGCGATAGGGGGGTCGAGGCATCCCCCCCTTGACGTTGCCCTCTGGCTTCAGGGTCATCACTCCTCGGCTTGCCGGCAACCGCTCGGGACGGTCCGGGAGCAACCGGAACGCTCTCGGCGAGAGGCGCAGCTGCGGAAACGCACGCCGATGCTTTTGGAAACCGACGAGCACCAGCGACCCAACATCTTCAGGCCTCGAAGCCCTCGAGCCTCGAAACCCTCGATGCACTCTCCCCAGATGTAGTTTGGGCCCGATCGAACGGAGTTCAACACGGGAACTGGGAAAGTGTGCGCTCAGGCATCTTTGCATGATGGGAGAGACGAGAAGAAGGACGAGAGAGGAAGAGGAAAGACAACAGCGCTGGGTTCCTGCCTCAGACCATCGCCCTGTCTCGTGGCGGGCCTCCCTCTTCCCCGAAAAAGGGTCTGCTTGGTTCAGGTCGCTGCAGTCTGGCGGAAACCACCGGGCCTCTTGACGTGAGAGTCTCGGCCACGACTGTCTACGCACAGTAAACTTGAAACTCCTCAAGCGGCGCCCATGAGGCCCCAAGAGGCCACCAAGAGACCCCCAAGAGGCCCCAAGAAGCTCCCAAGAGCCCCCAAAACGGTCCCCAAGATGCCTCAAAACTGCCTCCAAGAGGCTCCCAAGAGGCCTCCCACGAGATTCAAACCAACATCCACTAGGCTAATAACCCACAAACCAGGCACGGTGCCGGGACTTGCCGTAGGCAGCAGGATGAACATCAATTTTGTCGCGCACCACCTGGCTCCAATTGCCTGGGGGGTAATTGTGAAAGGCTCCGTTTCGCTGGAATGTCATCCTGCGGCCGCGGTCCTCCACGTGTTGGCAGAGTGCGAGGTCCATCCCACCCTGCAGCGCAGCATGCGTCGCATGCGAATCCTCCTCTGAGCCTGTCCACCAAACATTTACCCCGAGTTTGGGTGACCTCAACGGGTATGGAAGAATGGTTGCGATGCTGGACAAAAGAACTGTCCAAAATCAGCAACGGCCGCTGTTGGGCAGGCAACCTTCTACCGCGAATGCACAACGTCCGCGGCGACACCGACAGCGAGTCATGCTCAAAATTGTCCGGGAATTCTGCCAATTTTTGTACACATTGTTTCCTTACCCAGTCGATCGTCCCGACTGGGGGTCCCTCCCCTGGGGAAACCAACCGGTCCTGATACCGCCACTCCCCGGAGATCTCCTGGGGTGCGCTCTGACCAGAATTCCGGAGCGAATCCAGCGGTGGCGACGCGGGCATCTCGGGTTGCGGCATCGGTATCTTTCCCTCTCCTCCCCTCCCTCCCTACCCCACGCGAAATGGTTCAGAAATCATGGGTTAAGAAATTCATGGTCTCAGAACTCGAATAAAAACCCAAAAAATTGCTATCAAAATCTTAGGATTCACATCGAAATATTAAGAATAATCGAGACTCTGGCCGAAAACTCAAGTTTTCTTAAGCATCGCCTAAGGTGTACCCGTGGCCCGTACCCGGCGCGCCTGCCGCTGGACGCCGCTGGCCCATTCCAGAGCAGCCCCGATCAGGGGCCTGCAGGGCTCCGCGCGGAGGCGGTCGATCACCTGGGCGGAAGGGGGAGGGGCCTCCTCCCTCCCTCCTCCTCCTCCTCCTCCTCCTCCTTCCCTCCTCCTCCTCCTTCCCTCCTCCTCCTCCTCCTTCCCTCCTCCTCCTCCTCCTCCTTCCCTCCTCCTCCTCCTCCCTCATCCCTCCCTCCTCCTCCTCCTCCTTCCCTCCTCCTCCTTATTGACTACCTACCAGACCACCCCAACCCAACCCGAAGACGCGAATTTCGGGTTGGGGGGGGTACGGGTTCCATATGTGTTTTTTCAGTGTTCCCAGACCCCCCCCCCCACTGGAAATGGAGGGCAAATCGGGGCCTTCGGGTTGGGTTGGGGTGGGCTGGTGGGTGGTGACTTCTCTCCTCATTCTCCTCCGTCTTCCCTTCCCTCCTCCTCGTCCTGCCCTTCCTCCGAAGCCTGCTGCTTCCCCTCCCCTTCCTCTTCACTCTGCACTCTTCCTCCTCCTTCTTCTCTCCATCCTTCTCCTCCTCTTCATCCCTCTCCTCCTTCTCCACCCTGATTCTCCTCCAGGATCTCCTGATTTGTCAGGGGGGGTCCAGATGTGGTCGGTCGGGGTGTGGCGTACCAAAGGCGTCCACGGGGACAGCACAATCAAAAACCGCTCGCACCGATAGCGAAACCGACACGCCGCAAGCAGCCTAGAACGACGCAACAACACAGCACAAACGTAGAAACCGCACCGACCGAACGCAACCGACTGCGACGCAGTTAAGTCGACCGAACCGCCAACACCCCTGCCCACCCTCCGATTGGTGGCGCGCACGAGGGGGCAGGGGGAGGGGGGGGGAGGTCTCTTAGAAGGAGGCTGCTTCTCAGAAGGCGCTGGCCTTACGCCTGTAGGTACTGCCCGCGCCTTCTACGAAGCACAAGTCCTCCTGAGAAGCCTTCCCCCCCCCGACCTCCCTCTGCGCGGGGCCGATCCGATCTCCCCAGGGAGGCAGCACGTTCGGGCGACGGGACGCCGCTCCCTTCATGTCACGTGCTGGCCTTGCCCCCTTTACTCAAGGGCTCCTAAGTTCGCGCTTCGCGAAGCGCGAATAACTTCGCGCTCTCGCGCCGCCCCCCAAGGGGGAGAAGAGGAGGACGAGGAGGAGGGGGAGGAGGAAGGAGGACGGCGAAGCGCGAAGCGCGAATAATTTCGCGCCCTCCTGGGAGCCCTTGTTTACTGCTGCCCCAGATCTGCGTTGAGCACCCAGCTCCCTGTGCATGCCCTGCCGCAGCAGAGATCACACCTCTGGACCACATCAGGGCGCAGCGCTCAGAAATTATCGTCTTGGAGGCTTCATGAGGCTTCTGGATGCTCCTGCGGGTTTTCGGCCGGCATCTGCGGCTCTTCGAAAGTTTCTGGAGGAGGCACGCGGTGGGGGAGGAAGGGAGGTGAGAGGTCAGCTCAAACTCAGGATTTCTCATGTGTCTGAGGAACTCTCGGTATTTCTAACGGCTTCCAGAGATGGAGGGGGATGAGGGGTGAGGGGAGCAAGAGGGCCGCTTGAGCGCTCCTGGAGATCATGGTGGTTCCTGGGAGCTCCTGGCAATCGGGCGGGACAGGGGGAGAGGGGAGAAGCGAGATGGGATCTTTGACCTTGCTCCCGCGGGCACGCTGTGGCAATCCGAGACCCTCTCCATCAGCAGGCAGCCTTGGGCGGCAGACCTCGCGACAGCCTCCACGGCACACTCAGAACCACTTTGGTGGGCCCGTGTGAAGGGCAACGGGTAGAAGGTCAGCGCGCACGTGGGCGGTTGCTACATAATACCACCCGCATGCCCAACAGACTCAAGTCACCCTTTGAGACGGTCCAGCGACTGGCGAGTTGAGGGAGGGGAGGGGAGGAGGCGAGGAGGGCGCGGAAAGAGGGAAGGATACGTGTCAAGGGGGAGACCCGCTCGGGGGGGGGAACGCCGACCTTGAATCGGCGAGCCCGCACTTTCCCAAGCGGAGTGGGCTAGCAGGCCCATATCGATGATGAATGGGCGATTGGGGGAAGGCGCATGCCCACTGACACCATCCCCTGGGAAGCCCAAAAGGGACCGATACCGCTTCTCCCTGGACCTCTCCCAGCCTGCGCCCTGACCAGAAATTCGAAGCGAATCCGGGCGCGGTGACAAGGGCGCCCCCTGAGGCCCAGAAAAGCGAAAACGAGGCGAGGGTGGCGGTTTTTGTGCCTCTTCCTCCTCTGATCCCCCCAACGTTCCCAAACATCCAGCGTATCGAGATTGTTTAAAACACGGGCCTCTGGCGTCGCGAGTCCACTTCCCCGGGACCGGGCGTTTTACATCCTAAGCCGTATTGTACCGTTTTGTTGACTGTCCCCAGGCCCAGGGATGGCGCCCCGTTACGATTTTCTCGAGGCGCCGGATGCCTGGGCTGTTCCTCACGGGGATACGACAAGGAGGTCCGGGCAACCGTCCAGAACTGAACCGACCGTCCCGGCATTCCTAAGGGCCACAGGATACTCTTAGAACCACAATATGCTCGGATCCGCCACCGTGCTTCTGTGCACGGAATGGGCGTGCCCTCAAGTCCTTCCACGACCCCTCTGAGCTTCAGTCGTCACTCCTGAGGAGTTCGTAAGGGCACGGACCCCAAATCCTCAAATCTTCTCGGGCTTCTCGCGGTGCCCCTGGAGCTTGCCGCGTCCTCCGACAAAAACCCTAACAAAGGCTCCCAAAGGCCGCCAAAACGGTCCAAGAGGGCCCTGATTCGCCAATCGATCGCTCCTAGACGCTCAAGATGGCACCCAGACGGCCCAAGAGGCCTCCAAGACACCCAGAGAGGCCTCCAAGAGGCCTCTCAAGTTTTTGAAAGATTTTGGCGTTCTCGCCTTTTCGGCTTTCCGACGCTCCCAAACGGCGCAAGAGGCCCCCAAGATCGCCCCAAGACGGCCCCAGAGGCATTCCTCAGCACGGCCCAGACAGTCCAACACAGCCCAAGAGAACCCCAACACGGCCCCAAAAGGACCCCAAAAGAGGGAACGCGAAAATCCAAGCCGTCCGCCCCAACAGGCCCCCTAGGAGGCCCCAAGAGGCGCCCAGGAGGCCCCAAGAGGCGCACAAGAGGGCGGACCGAAAGCCATTCGATCCCCCGCCCCTGTTGATTCAACGTATCACAAGGGTACCTGACGTGTTTAGTTTTGGTTATTTTCAACAGAAAACCAGAACCCCCCCCCTTGAGGCTCCGGCCCAGCGCGCGGGCCACCCGAAAGGGACCCCCAAATCTGTCCGTCTATGCCTTTCCCGCTCCAACATGGCCCAAAATGGCTTCCAACACGGCTGGGGTGGGCCCGACATGGCCTCCAAGTTCGCCCAAGATGGCCTCCAAGACGACCTAAAGAGGGTCGAATATACCTTAAACTCTGCCCAAGAAGCCTCCAAAACGGTCCTACACGGCCCAAGAGGCGCACATGAGGCCCTCACAACGACCCAAGTGGCCTCCAAGACGTCCTCCAGGAAGGCCCGAGGCGGCCAAAATCATTAGCTTTCTGGCTTTTGGAAGCGTTCTGGCACGTGCTGGTTTTCAGCCTTCCGACAGCCCGAAACTGCCGAAGAGGCACCCAAGGTCGCCCCAACATGGCCCCACAGGCCTCCAAGATGATCTCACGACGGCAGAAAAAGCCTCCAAGACGGTCCCAAGAGGCCTCCAAGTTCGCTCAAGGTGGCCCAGAATGGCCTCAAAGACAGCTCAAAAGAGTCCAAGATGGCCTCCACGACTGCCCGAGAGGGTCCAAGATGCTTCCGAGCTCGCCCGAGAAGCCTCCAAGACTGCCCACGACTGGCCATTATACCCCTAAGAAGCGTCCAGGACGACCCGAGCGGCCACCAAGAGGTTCCCAAGAAGACCCGAAGCGGCCCAAATTATCGGTTTGCCTTTTGTTTTGACGGAGTGTGGCATGTGTTTTTGTGGTATCGCGCGCTCGAGACTGAAGATAATTCAAGCCCGAATGCACATACGGACGAGCATGATACAGCAGACTTCACAAGCAGTGCACGTCCACGAAATGCTCTCGCCAAGTAGAAGTTGCAGCTACAAGCTACCCCACGAGCATTCCCCGAAACAGATCTGGGCGGCTTCGGGAGACAAGTGCCAATGATATATTCAACATCAGACGAGGTGGCCATGATCGGGGGCAAATGCGTTCTAAAAGACGACCCCCAAAACGTGTAAACGCAAACCCCTTACGACCCCAAGACGGCCCTGGACAGTGCCACCGGGCCCCAAACTACCTGCCCTTTCTGTTCGGCGAGCCCGAGGCCTGTCCAGGAAGGCCCCTCAGATGGGCGAGGGAGACCAGATCGGCTTCCTCCTTGGACTCACTCTGGCCCACGCCGTCCCTGGAAACTTTCCAGGCCAACTCGGGGAACACATTGTCCTGTCCGGTGGTTAGGCGCACGTGTTCCCCCACAGATTTCAACGGCGGCTCGGATAACACCTTGTCCGATAGCTCGCCCGACTCATGTGCCGAAACGTCCGACCACAGAGGCGCTCATGGAACAGCGCTGAACAAAACAATGTCTTCACCGAAGAGTCTGACACGACATCCCTTTGACCATCAGTAGTCCAACACAAATATTGTTCTGTTGTGTGGCCTCCAGAAAAACTGCCAATGGTATGACCACCCCTGGTGCTAGGCGAAACCAAAGACTGTCCAAAGAGGCTCACCGATATCGGTGAGTGAGACCAGATCGAAATCCTCGCTGCGGTCATTCTCACCCACGTGTTCCCCGAAGGCTTTCCAAACCGACTCGGGGAGCACGTGCTCCGATAGCTATGCCAAGCTCCAGTCGCAGTTTTGACACACAGGCTCTTCCCAAAAAGGCAAGGGCGGTGGTGATTCGCCGTAGGCGTCTTCTATAACGATAACAATGGCCTCAGAACAGAAAACCGACGCACGAGAGCACGACGGCCTCAACCTGACATGTCCTGAGAACACCTCGTGCAAGTGCAAGCCACGGAAGCCCACCAGACCACTCCCTGGTGGCCCTGCACGCCAGCCAGGACGCCTCGCCACTGCTTGAAGCCCCTTAGAGTGACTACCTACCAGAACACCCCAACCCAACCCGAAGACCCGAATTTCGGGTTGGGGGGGGGTAAGGGTTCCACACGTGTTTTTTCGATGTTTCCCGACCCCCCCCACACTGGAAATCGAGGGTAAATCTGAGCCTTCGGGTTGGGTTGGGGTGGTTTGGTGGGTGGTGATACAGCCCCTTGAAGCCCCTTGAAGCCCCTCAAAGCCCCGAGGAGCCGCGGCGGGCGCCTGCGAGGTGAAGCCCGCCAGGTGCACCCGCACGCACTCGCCGGCGAGGGCCTCGGCACGCCGACGGCGGGCACGGGGGCAGCCGAGGCCGCTGGAGGGCGAGGGAGAGAGAGAGCAGCGGAGGGGAGGAGGGAGGAGGGAGGAGGGAGGAGGGGAGGAGGGAGGAGGGAGGAGGGAGGGGAGGAGGAGGAGGAGGAGGAGGAGGAGGAGGAGGAGGAGGAGGAGGAGGAGGAGGAGGAGGAGGAGGAGGAGGAGGAGGAGGAGGAGGGAGGGGGGAGGGCGGGGGGGGGGGGCCACGCGGGGGCCGCGCAGACCTGCAGCCAACCCGAACAGCACGGGCGCGCGACGAGGGTGCGGGAGCCCTGGAAGGGCACTGCGACGCCTTGCGAGCGGGGCACGGCCAGCGAAGGTGGCCAAGGATGGACCAAGGAGGGCAGGATGCCAGGGTACCCTTGGGAAGGTTGCCCATCCTGACTACGGGGGTTGACTGTACACCAAGATATCTGGGCCCTGTCCCATGAGGCTTCGCAGAAACGCCACAGGACAAGGCATGGTGTATTATCATTTCCTGGCAGGTTCTGCGGGCGACGAATGTTGAAACAAAAATGTGCACTGCATCTGGGCCGCCGTGTGGTGCTAAAGTTGACATTTTCCTGGCCCCGAGAACAGTCAATCCAGACCCCCTCGATTCAAGCAACAATCAGGACGGATACTTGTGCTCAATTTTCACTCTCTGGGAGCCCCATGCTGGGACTCCTGGCCGCCAAAGAACGACTCAGGATGAGAAGCCGGTCCGGGGAAATGGGTCGCAGCCCTCGAAAGTGGTGACAGTTCCGCAGATCGCAGCCCCCCAGAGATGACGTAAAAGGCAAGAGAAGAGAAGAGAAGAGGAGGAGCGAAGAGAGGCGGAGAAGGGAAGCAAGAGAGGAGAGGAAGAGGGAAGGGAGGAGGAAGAGGAGGAGGAGGAGGAGGAGGAGAAGGAGGAGGAGGAGGAGGAGGGCGTCGGGGGTCCGGAAGCTAGGCCCCGTTTTGGATTGCTCGCGCCACCGCCCGTGCCCGGCCCCGCTCCGCCCCGCGCCCTCCCCCCTGCTCGTCACGTGACAATCCTCGCCGACCCGAGCATTGCAAGGCGGCGCCGGCGCGATTCGTGACATGACTGCCCCCCTAGACACCTCCCTCCTCTCGGTCATGCCCGTCATCGCAACGGGGATCTGAACGAAAACGCCTCCTAGGTGGGCTCGCGCCATGTCTCACATCCTATTACCCTTCCAAACCATCCCTTCATATTGCGCCAATTTCCTCTCAATCCGCCGCAACGTGTCCTAGCGGACCTGGAGTTCCGAAAAGGACCCAGTCCTGGCATGCGCCATCGGAAATGTAGAGTTGCGTAGGTTGGAAAAGGGTGAACGTTTTGGGGGGGACTGGCTCAGCGGGGAGGGGGAGGGCCATTGTTAGGGAGGGCATGGGGATGGTCATTGTCGGGGGGGGGGGTCGCTCGGTTGGGGGGAGGCATCGAGCTGGCATCGGCGATACGCCTCCGATAGATCGGCGATGGGCCCCCGATGGCGAATCCGCACGCCTCTATCGGTGATGCATGGGGGAGTGGGGGCCCATGCGTCCCCCCATGAGCCTGCCCCCCCCCAACCCCCACGACGTTACCCTTCAAGGAAGCGGGGGGTGGGGTGGACGGGGGAGCGACGGAAGCTTGGGTGCGTGGGTCAGCGAACCAGCCCATGCTCTCCTCGGCAACACGCAAGGAGCAACCCTGGGCAAAACTGGCTCTTGGTGCGCGGCATTCGGGGGGCCGCGTGGAGGGGGGGTGGGGTGGGGGGGGGGGGGGGGCAAACCCAAGCGCGCTAGGCGCACTATCGCACTGCGTCCGGCGATCGAAGAGCTCCAATGGGCCCGCACCAGAGGTCAATCCGGCAAAAGATCACTCTTACGCGTAGTCGATCTCCCCAGCGCCTTCGGGCGCCCGTGCATCGAGGAGCGTGCACAGGGGTCTTCACAGAAACGCTGCCGGACCACGTAGTGTATGATGTTCTGGCGGGTTCTGCAGGCGACAAGTGTTGAATCAGATAAAGAAACAGCGTTTGGGCCGCAATTTGCCACTGAATGGTGGACAAACATGGCATCATAATATAGTGGACGTTCTCTTAGGCCCGACTTTCGTCCGATCCGAGATGGGTGGGAGAGGGCACACGACCGACAGGACGAAGGAAGCCGATGAGCCAGTGCCTGCAAGATGCTTCGAAGAACGGAGTCTTGATCGATCGATCATCGAAAAGCAAATCTTTTCATTGTTCGCGATAGCGCCCGTGACTTGCCCCGGCCCCTCCACACCCTCCCCCCGCCCCAGGCCAGATCACGATGCGCGCAAGCGCCGTCTGAGAATGAACCATGGCCTGGGGCATTCCCAGACAGCGCCAGCCCGAATCGTGACGTAACTGGCGCTCTCCTCCACCCTCCCTCCCCCGCCCCTGGTCACGCCCATCATCGCCAGGGGATAAAAAACGATATCAACCTCCTCCTCCTCCTCCTCCTCGTTCTCATCCTCCTTCTCCTCCTCCTTCTCCTCCTCCTTCTCCTCCTCCTCCTCCTTTCCCGAACTGTGGGCTCCCACCTCGTGGGACGAGCGGGCAGGAGATGGGTGGGCGCACCGGCGGGATGCGCCCGACGGTGTCGGCCAGCGCCTGGAAGCACGCCTCCCCCGCGCTCGACAGCTCGCCGTAGGTGCTGTAGTGCTGCACCTCGAGGATCGGGGTAAGAGCCCAGTTTTGTATGCATCGCGACAGGGCTGGTGACTGGCCCTGGTCCCCCGCCCGTCCCCCCCCCTTTTGGTCACGTCACGATTCGCACAGGCGCCGTCTGGGACTTACCATCGGGAGACTAAATGTCTCCTGGGGTCCGAGTAGATGGTGTCGGAGGATCGCGCCGCATCGGCGATGCATCAGCGACGTCGGCGTGGAGAAATCGGACTCCACATCGAGCCGCATCGTCGATGCATCGTCGATGCATCGGCGATCCTTCGACCCCATTTACTCCGATCCGATCTAGGAGGCCTAGAGAGACGTAAGGGTGAGGGTGAGGCAGCGATGGGTTTACATACAAATCGCACTGCATGGATCGTGATTAAGAAAGCGTGAGCGTCAAACTAATTTCCTTCCCTCACCCCACTCTGGGACACCCCTCCCTCTGCGAACCCTCGATGCCAATTCCTAAGCATCCCCGGACGGCGCAAACGCGAATTGCGACATGACAAGCACCCTCCTCCCCCCCAGGCACGCCCGTTATCGCCGGGAGATAAAACAACAACTGTCTCAAGATAGAGCACCTCAACGTTGGACGTGCTTGGCCCTTCTCGGGCCACCTGGGCCTCTTCTGGAGGCCTTCCCCGCTCTGGAGACCCTCGGGAAGTGGGGCTCCGCGGTGCGGATTGTTGTTGCGTTGTTTGTTGTTTGTTGTTGTTGTTGCTGCTGTCGTCGTCCTCGCCCGCGACCCGGCCCGCGACCCACCCGCGACCCACCCCGCGCCCCACCCGCGACCCGCCCACGACCCACCTGCGACCCACCCCGCACCTGCCCCCTCACTCTTATCCGCAACTGCGGGGTACATTTGTTGTATAGATCTAGTACCGTACAGTCAGTCAGTTCGACCGCATGACCTCATCCAGATGTACGTCGACCAATACTTGCAAGAAGCAAAACTATGCAACAAACGAGTGATAAGTTGATGACGGCGGGCTGGGCTGAGAAAGCGTCATGGGAGAGAGCATGAGAGCAACCACTTTGAAGGCGTAGTCGTCAGCGAGCGCCAGCACGCGCTTGACCTCGCAGTCCTGCCCATCGACGTACGTTACACTATCTGAGAACACCCCCCTTGCCGTGCAAAGCGCAAGGGCCAACAGGGCATTTCACACCACGCTAGCTCACCTCCTGGAAGCACGGGGCCGAACGTAGCAGCCACCATTCGTCCGAAGACTATGCCTTTGCCGAAGCAGGCGAAGGTCGCATTGTCAAGAAGATGGATGGAGGGGGGAGAACGAGGCTTCCACCGTCGCTTTCGGCGACGGTATTCGATTGGTTCGCTCACCTCGTGCCATCCTTTCCTCGTCGTTTCGCTCGCCCGTCTTCTCATGATTCCTGCCCCATTCGGCTGGAAAGAAGCGGCTCCTGAGGAACACGGGTCATGGACCCCACGACTTTACCCCAGGACCAGCTGTTCATCCTGAGCCTCTTCGTTCTTACTTTCCCAAGCCCCTGGAAGAGCCCCCCCGAGAGCCTGTAAACGGTAACAACAAAAACTCCAGGCACGCGTCTCTCTCATGACCCCTCTGCCTCATCTGGGGGGCGTCCAGGAGGGGCACGCCCCAGACGGGTCTTCGCAAATCATGGCCAGAGGCATGTGTGCGGCTGGGGGGGGAAGGGACGCACTGAAATCGGAACAAGGGACCATAAAGTCCAGGGAGATATCATGGCCCTGGCCATGAGATCCACCACACCGTAGTCATCACCCCTTGGCGGCGCGCACAAGGGGGTATGGGGAGGGGGGCAAGCTTAGTAGAAGGAGGCTGCTTCTCAGAAGGCGCCGGCCTGCATTACATCTATAGATACGGCCCGCGCCCTCTAAGCAGCACGGGTGTTTCTAAGGAGCCTTCCCCCCTCCCCCTGCCCCCCCTCTGCGCGTACACCCGATCCTGGCGGCCTGTGCTGCCTGTCTGGCCCAGAGCACCAGTCGGCGGCGCCTCTGCAGCTACGTGGCCGCCCACGGCCGCGGCCCCGCTGACGGGGACCGCAGGGGACGACCGCGCGGTGCAGGGCTGGAGACTGGAGACCGCGCCTGTGTCGTTCCAGGGAGACGGCCCTACGCGGGGCTGGGCGGTGGCGCCGGGGCGACGGCATCTCTCGAACGTCGGATGTTATACTCTGGCCAATTCCAATCAATACCCTGTGGATGTGTAGCTGTTGTCGTCCTCCCCTTCCTTCTCTTGGCTCAGCTAGTCCTCCTGCGCCGTGCCGCAGGAGGACGAGATGCGCCAGGAGAAGGAAGGGGAGGACGACAGAAACAGACCCTGGAAACCTGTCGCCGTGTTTAACCAAACTCGAAATTCTTCCTATCCATACGATCGGCAAGCCACATGCGATGACGATCTTAGGGATATGGCTTCAGAAACTGTTAGAATCCTTGAGATCGGCACCAAGGTAAGGTGATGCCAAACGTAGGGATAGGGATAATGATGCTTCCCTCTGGTAGTTTTTGGGTGCCCTCCAGGCCCAGGGCCGTCCACGGGCCTCGAAGCCGTCGGTGAACAAAGCGACTCAGGACGAAGAGCTGGTCTCGGGGGCCAGGGCCGAGTGAGTCACCCGCTCTCCTCGCCAGGGGCGGCGCAGAATGTGCGCCGTCGCGCAGGAAGCGCCGCCAGGGGGCAAAGACGCGCCGCCAGGTCGGGTGCCCCTGGCCCAAAAGGTGCCCCCAGGAGTTCCAAAGAGGCCCCCATGGGGGCACCTTGAGCCAGGGGCACCTTTACTTTAGCAACCCCCGACCAGGATGCGAGTCGGGGATCTGCTGGCCCGGGTCAATACAACTCCAGGTCAGTCGGGCTCCTACAAGAGATCCTACAACATATCCTGCAAAATCCTGCGCGCTAAGCCCGGGTCGATGCACCCCTGCGTTACCCGGGCGCACTGACTGACCCCCGCTTGCATTGACCCCCGTCTCAAGGCTCCCGACTTTTCCTCCGCTTCGACCTCCTCGGGCCCGTTCCGTGCTCTGGGGCATGATCAAAAAAGATCTGGGACGAGACGCTGCTCGCGGGGAGGGGGCCGGAATCCCACCAGCCCTTTGGGCGACAGGTGGTCTAACGAAGGTCTCTTTCCTCTTCCGCAACCCCTCTTCCCTTCGGGGAGGGAAGCCCTCCCCCCCTTCCCTGATGTTTTATGGGAGGGGGTCGCGATGTGTCGGAGGCTTCTTTTTTCTGCCATTGGGAGGGCCATTTTCTGCCACCCCTCACGAGGATCGTGGCCCCCAAGGGGGGAACGCAAATCTAGTACCCCCACTCTTTCGACTGACCGCCTCCAAGATGGCCCCAAGAGGCCCTCCAGGGCCCCCAGGAGGCTCCCAAGAGAGCCCAAAGAGCGCCCCAAGAAGCCCCAGGAGGCCTCCAAAAGGCACCCGAGAGGCCCCCAATAGGCCCCCGAGCGGCCCCCGAGGGGCCTCAGAGAGCCCAAGATAACCTCCAAGATGTCTCAACATAATTAGCCCAAGCTAGCTCCAGATGGCTCCCAAGATGAGGCCCCAAGACCGCTCCAAGACTGCTCAGAATGGCCACGGAGGCCCCCCAGGATGCTTGAGGTGCCCAAATCCTTCAAACATGTAGCGAACATCGATGAATCTAGCCTTCTCGCCTTTTTGCTTTCGATGGCCTTCCGGGGCCTCAAGATGGCTCCAAGATGGCTCAAGAGGGCTCCAAGAGAGGCCCAAGAAGGCCCCAAAACGGCCCCAAGAGCGGCCAAGAGCACCCCGAGAGCGCTCCAAGAGGGGCCCAAGAGGCAATTTTGGGTACTCTCGAGAGGCGACGCTACTTGAAGCTCTGCCAGCCCAAGAGGCCCCCAAGAGGGCCCCAAAGCCCCAAGACGGCCCAAGAGGTCACCAAGACGGCCAAGATGGCCTCCAAGATGCCTCCAAGACAGCGAAGATGGCCCCAAGATGCACCCAAGACGGCCCCAGATGGCCTCAAGATGGCCTTAAAAATACTGCCCCAAAGGCCCGCAAGAGGCCTCCGAGACGGCCCAAGACCCCTCCAAGACGTCCTCCAGGAGGCCCGAAAGCTCAGAAACCACCTGGTCCGATAGCTCGCCTGACTCCCTGTTCCCCGAAGGCTTTCGAAACCCACTCGGGGAACGCGTGGCCCGATAGCTTGGCCAAGCTCAAACTCAGCTTTCGGCCACGCAGTCGCTTCCAAAAAGGCAGGGGGCGGCGGTGATTCGCCGTAGGCGTCTTCGATCCGCCGCCCCCTGTTGATTCATCACAAGGGTGCCTGGCGTGTTAGACCCTTTCGCTTTTGGTGTTGGTTCTTTTCCAACGGGCCCTTTCGGCCCGTCCCGCCAGAGATGCGTACCAGGTGGTGCAAAGGGTTGTTCGGCTCCAGACGGCTCCAAGATAGCCTCCAAGATGCTCAAGCTGGCCCAAGATGGCCTCCAAGTTCGTCCAAGAAGGTCCAGGATGGCCTCGAAGACGGCACAAGAGAGTCCAAGATGCCTCCAAGTTCGCACAATAAACACCTAAGACGGCCCAAGACGGCGCAAGAGGCCTCCCAGAGGCCTCTAAGACGGCCCAAAACGCCTCGAAGATTTCCTCAAGGGCGTCCTGAAGAGGTCAAACTTATTGTTGTTCCTATGGTTTTTTGAAGGAGTTTGGCTTTTGCTCCTTTTCGGCATTCCGACGGCCCAAGACGGCCCAAGAGCTCATCAAGATCGCCCTAAGAGTGTCCAAGAAGCCTCCAAGATGTCCCCAGGACGATCCAAGAGGCCCCCAAGATGGCCCAAAGAGGGCCCAAGACGGCCCAAGAGGCCTCCGAGACGCCAACGGTCACCAAGTCGGTTCAGAGATGCCCCCAAGACAGCTTCCGACTGCGTCAGGTGGGTCAGGAACGCCCTAAGACGGCCAAAGAAGCTCCCAACGGCCCCCAAGCAGCCCAATGAGGCCCAAGGATGCCTCAGGCTCCCAGGAAACTCCTAGGAGGTCCCAAGAGTGCCCCCAGAGGCTCCCAAGATGCCCGTCCTTTTTTCTTCTCCTCCTGGTCTTCCCCGCGATCCTCCCCCCAGTGTTCCCTGAAAGGTTTCCAAAACGGCTGGGGGAACACATGGTTCGGTAGCTTGGTAGAGCTCCTGTCACAACGCTCGGCCAAAAGGCATGGGGCGGCGGTGATTCGCCGTAGGCGTCTTCGATAACGCCAACGTCTCAATATGCGCTGATGATTCCTATCCGCTATCGCATGTTATTCCCAGATGCGCCAAGGCAGCGCCGAGACGCACCGCCGCGACTCTGATATATGCCATTATGATAACTAGAGAGGGGGCCGGCGGCACGGGGTGAAGCCCTTACGGATACGACCCCAAGAGGATCCCAAAACGTCCCCCCAGACGCCCTCAAAGGCTTCCAAACGGCCCGAAAGAGCACCAAAGCAGCCCGACTCCCAAAACGACCTCCTCAGGCCTTCGACGGCCCGATACCAGCACCCCAAGACAGCCCCACAAGTCACAGGACGGCCCCAAGACGTCTCCATATACGACCCCAAGAGGGTCCCAAGACGTCCCCCGGGCGCCCTCACAGGCCCCCGAGGCCTCCAAAAGAAGCGAAAGAGCCCCAATGCGGCCCGAGAGGGCCCGCCCCAAGGGACTCCCAAAACGGCCTCGTCAGCCCTTCGACGGCCCGATAGCACCCCAAGACGGCTCAAGATGGCCCGCAGTGACTATCCAACAGGGCGCCAAGGCAGCCCCAAGATGCCCCCAACAAGGTACAAGAAATGCCCCAACGAGCCTCCGTGCAGGTGCCCTACAATGAGATATCGTAAATCAAATTGAAGATGTGTTGGGTCCATCTTGGAATCGATACTGGAACCCTGTGTTCTCCCGGTCCCGACAACACTTTTGGGAGCCAGGACTCACCTACACCCTGCGAAATGCTTAAGAAATCATGGGTTAAGAAATTCATAGTCTCAGAAATTGACTAAAAACCCAGAATGTCTATTCAAATCTTAGGATTCACATTGAAACATTAAGAATAATCGAGACTCTGGCCGAAAACTTGGGTTTTCTTAAGCATCGTGTAGAGTGTACAACCGAGCTGTTCTTGCATGCATAATCGGCAACAACAGCGGTACGGAGAGGCCGTGGTTCAACAGAGGCCGCACAATTGATAACGAGATGCCGTCCAAGTATCGGCCGATCCTTCAAGTTTCCGCTCCCGCTGAACAGGGAGCGTGTCTGGCCTTTCCGAAGGCGAATGAAGAAATTAGTTGAAGACCTGCTGGCACGCTTCTCTGAAACGTGAGATCGCACAATGTTCACAAACTTGCTTTGCACTGTGTGGTGTCGCCCATCGTCGTTACACTATTGTGAAGACCTCAGTCCTATCGCCCGCAGGTTGCCTTCTGCCCAGAGCCCAAAACGTGGACAGCAATCCAAATCGAACGCCTTTGTTTCAAGACGCCTTCAAGCATATTCCGTCTCAGGCTAAATGTGTGGCAGTCATGCGGGTGGAAATTCAACGCTTTAGAAGTTTAAAGGCATGCGAGGGGGGAACCTCGCGGTTGTAAAACCACGTGCGTACGTGAATCAATGCGTGTACATATTCACACAAAAACACGTTACGAACGCATATGTATACATATGCGCGTGCGTGTGTTTGTGTGTGCGTGTGTATACACACGTTGCATGTGAGTACACGCGAGTGTTTGCGGATGACGGCGCGAGTACAAAATTATACATTGTGGTTCCCGTATGTGCACGCATATGTGTGTTCGCTAAAGCGAGCCACTCCAGGGGGTCTTGGCAAGATGGGCCCCGAGCAGATCTGTCGAAGAGGGGGGACACTGGCAAATCCGCAAAAGTTGCCCCTCCCCGAGTCCCTCCACCCCTGATCCGTTTTCGACGGTCCCACAGCCCGAAAGCGGCCCCCTGAGACCAACAACGAAACAAACGGAGACCTTCCGGCGCACAGCGCCTCGAACCCAACGCTCCCCCATTCTCGCTGGCCGGCACCAGCGCTGGGCCGCCTCGGCTCTCCAGCCGCCCCTAAACATGAGGAACCGCGGGGGCCCCGCCCGCGTCCGGAGCGTCGCCGCCCGCGGCCGGGGCGACGGAGAGGCCGTGGCCATGGGCGACCTGCGCTGCCGCCATGGCGCCGCCCCGCCGCCGCAGGCCCCGCGGCAGCGCCCCGCGAGCCCGGGGCCCCGCGCGCCGCGCCCGCCGGGGGCCCGCTCTCGGCACCACAGGCGCCGGCGCTGGGCGCGCGCGGCGAGGCGAGGCTTCGCGGCGCGTATAGCCCGACCAGACACATGGCGTCTCGACACAAGTCAAGGCAGAGGTGCTTCGTCGTTTTCGGCCCCTCGGGGCCCCTCGTTGGGCCTCGGGGCCCTCCAGAAGCGGTTCGGGATGAGAGGCAGGTCTCGTGGAAGGGGTCGAAGGGTCGGGGGCTCGCGTTTCGACCAAATCGGGGTACCAGATGTCAGGGGGCGCGCAAACGAAGGAGAACCAACCTCGCAATGAACAACCCGACAAACGAAGCCCTCTTTGGCGAACGCAGTGGGAATGGAATCGAACAGGGAGGCAATGTGTCCTCTTTGCGGTGATAGACGCCTCCTGATTCGGGTCCGGGTAGATGGGGTCGGAGGATCGCGCCGCATCGCCAACGCATCGCCGACGCATCGGCGATGTATCGGCGACGTCGGCGCTGCATCGGCGCCGTCGGCGATGCAGTAGCGGTGCGGCGCGATCCTCCGACCCCATCTGCTCTGGACTCCACCTGGGAAGCCCAGATGAAGGGGCCCCAGGACACACAAATAAATACACACAAATAAAAAGATTCCCCATATTTTCCCATATGTTCTGGGTTTTTGTCTTCCCCCCCACGTCCCATATTTTCCCATATTTTCCTGGGAGTCGACGATGAATTGTGTCTGTGTGTTTTTTCCCCTCCTGCTCTGGACTCCACCTGGGAAGCCCAGAGCGCGTCCTCCTCCCATCCGGGAAAGGGCCCAAATGGGGGCCCGCGCGCTCTGGACTCCGACCCCTTCTGCTCGGACTCTGCCCGGGAGGCCCAGGGTGCCTCCTCCGCCCTGGCAGGGAAAGTAAAGGGGCCCCAGGACACACAAATAAATACACACAAATAAAAAGATTCCCCATATGTTCCCATATTTTCGGGGTTTTTGTCTTCCCCCCCACTTCCCATATTTTCGCATATTTTCTGGGGAATCGACGATTCATTGTGTCTGTGTGTTTTTTCCCTTCCTGAGAAAGGCCCGACTGGGGGCCCGCGCGCCCCGAAGGCAACACCTCGAACGGGGCAGCCGAGCCGCAGGGCCTCGCGCGATGCCCGCGCGCTCCGACTGCAAGGCCTCGCGCGGGGCCCGCGCGCCCAGAATGGAAGGCCCCGCGGCCCATGGCGCCACGCCAGCGCGCGGGGGGCACGTGGGCGGCGGGGGAGGATGTTGGCACGCGGGGGTCTGGCGGACAATCGCCAAGCTCCGCGCTAGCAGCTTTTCACGATCAATCAAGAAGGCTTTAGCCAAGTCGGCCACATTTTAAGAAATACACATGCGTGAATGTGGAAAGCAAGGGTGCAAGTATTCACAGCACAGACAGACAGAGAGAGGTTGCAGGAACGCGTGCCAACAACTCCCCTGAATTACTGTCGATCTGGCTGTCTGACAGACTGCAAACGGATGTCCCTGGCCGCCAGGTAGCGTCGACTGTCAACCTTGCTCCGGTGCTGCTTGGCACCAGCGGAAGCCAAGGCAGTTCCTCCTTGGCGTCGCTCAAGGCCAAAATCATCCCCGTCCTGAGCAGGTGCGAAAGGGCCTCTGAACCCTTGGCCACATCAGCCTTGGTCATCACATCCGTGGGATCCAAAAAAGATGGGGGCAACCATCTGGCACGCAAGCTGCGAGCAGAAAAGGAATCCCTGAGATCTTCCTCACGGCCTGCGCAGTTTTTGGAACGCGCGTCGAACATCGATTTTGCGCCCAAAGCGTGGACACCTGGAACAAGGGCCCTGAAGCTCACGAGAGCTCCTCAACACAGAAACGAGAAGACGAAGGGGCCCCAGGACACACAAATAAATACACACAAATAAAAATAATCCCCATATTTTCCCATATTTCCTGGGTTTCTGTCTTCCCCCCCACTTCCCCTCTTTTCCCATGTTTTCTGAGGAATCGAGGAGTAATTGTGTCTGTGTTTTTTCCTCTCCTGAGAAGACCCGCGCCCCATGGGCCACTCTGAGGAGGGTCCCTCGCCAGAGCGGGCACTGCGAAGCAATGCGACTGCATCCGCTCCGCCTCTGCGACGGCATGCCACAGGAGTGGGGCTTCGCCTGCGAGAGAGGCATTGGCGGCGCGTTTCGTCCTGGCAAGAGAGCATTGATACACGAGCTGGCTGGCCAGCGGCATGCTTAAAACCTACAATCCCAGCAAACTGAACTGAAGGGGCCCCAGGACACACAAATGAATACACACAAATAAAAATAGTCCCCATCTGTTCCCATATTTTCTGGGTTTCTGTCTTCCCCCCCCCACTTCCCATATTTTCCCATATTTTCTGGGAAATCGCAAATTAATTGTGTCTGTGTGTTTCTTCCCCTCCTGAAGAGCATCGATACACGAGTTGGCTGGCCAGCGGCATGCTTAAAACCTACAATCCCAGCAAACTGAGCATTCTACACCGGGCCCTCGGTGCCAATGCCAACAGCGTCACTGGCCGTCATTGCCGCCACCAAACTCAGGTCACACTTCCAGATCATGAAGCATTGCGCTGCCGTGTCTCGCGCGAGCTGCAACACCTCCTTGCGTAGAAGAACGTCCTGGGTCGTAGCATGGTTCAGACTGCTCGCGAACATAATGGCAGCGCCCAGAATCTCCCGCCGAGACTCCAGGGCAATCCAGCTCACACCAGAAAGCGAATTAGCGAGAACTCGGCCGGTGACAATGGATTTGTCTCTGGGTTCTGCGGCCGCGATCAAGCGGCGCTGTCTTGAGCTCCTCGAAGTACTTCTCCTGATAGATACGGATGCGGTGCGGGGTCGCTCCTCGCGCGCTCGCCTGCATGCAAACGCGACCTCGTTCCCGCCCCATTTGCCGAAGGCGAAGCGCCCCTGGAGACTCCCATGCAACCACTTCTCGTGACTGCCGAGGGAGTCGAGCAACAGGTCGTCGACCTCGATCAGCACCTGAGCCACCAACTGCCCTTCCTCGCGCTTCGACCAGTAGCAAGGCTCGAGCAGCAGATCGCGGAAGCCCAGGTCGAGAAGAAAGGCGCGGGAGTGACGCGCCACCCCCAGGGCGCGTCGCCCAGCCCGCGCGCCGCCACCTTGAGCTCGATTGCGCGGCCTTCAGGGACATGGGCCCCTGCAAGACCGTCACGACGGGCCGCGTAGATCGGGTCGCCCGAGCGCTTCAGTGGGCGAGACTGGCTGGGCGCTCTCTTGCAGTCCACGGCGGCCTGCTCCACGTCGCAATGCAGTGTAAGGCCGCGGCAAAAATCGGCGCGGATTCCGGCTGCGGAGACGGCGGGTAGGCGATCAGCTTCTCGGTGTCTGGGTCATGGAGGCCGCGCGCGCGCCAGCGGCTCCTGGCTCTCTCGGCGCTAAAGGCGCCCCCCTGGCCCTTCCAGCGGCGCGCCATCCTCGACGACGGGGCCCTGTCGGGCTTGGTCTTGGCCGCGTGCTGGGGCTCGGCCAGCGACAGCACGCGCAGTGCTCCAGGTCGATTCAGCACTGCCCACTCGGCCTCGTCAAAAGCCTTGAACTGCTCGCGCTCCTCGGGCTTCGCGCGGCTCAGCTTGACCTCGCCAACGTTGGAAGACAGGAGGCTCCAGCGGCCGACGCTATCTCCCGAGCTGACATGCACGAGATCACCCGCGCCATTGGCGCACCCCCCGGCGGCGCCACTCCAGCCATGCTCCTGGGATCAGGTCTCGAACGACTCGCCGTGGGCACTTACCAGCTACTCGTCAGAGACCGCCTGAGAAACAACTGCCATCTCGTCGGAGCCTCTGGGTTGCGGCCAGCGGCCCCGCTCCTCGACGCGTTGTCCAGCTCAGTCGGAAACGCGGGGCAGGAGTTCAACTGGAGTAGGAAGAGCAGCGCTGCGGAACGGCGCCGGCGTTGGAGCCCCCCTCGCGCTAGATCTGAGGTCCTCGGGTCGGATGACCGTCTCGGGCGGGGCAGACTCGATCCTGGGCTGACTCGCTGGCGCCCGCAAGTCCCGGTCGTCTTTGAGACGCTTCACTTCGGAAACGAAGCCCCCCGCGCCCGAGCGCGCCGGAGATGTCCGGTTGGGGCCTTCCGAGGCGACGCCTCTGAGACGCTGGGGGGCGTCGGCTCGGCCGCGGGCTCGGGCCCTCGGCCGCGAGCGGCAGCGCCCAGGCCATCTGCTGGTCGAGACGTTGCCGAGCAGAGCCCCCCCCCCCCCCCCCAAGGAGCCGCAACGATTTCGACATGGTAAAGCTTCCAACGCGTTGCTTTCCTCGATCTGGGCCTCAGGGACAGGTCATCGAACGCGCGCGCGTCGTCGAATGGTCGCGCGCCGCCTGCCCCATTGAATCGCGCCGCGTGCGCCGCGGAGGCGCGACCAACGCGGCCCCCGAGCCAGGCCGTTGCGTGACCCCCCTATACCCATCACCGCGATGACGTTTCGTTCCGCGGTCGTTGGGCATGGCGTCCGCGCGAACCTCGAAGCGCGCAGCCGTCGAAACGCAGACGGAATCGGCGCGCGCGCAGCCGAAGCGCCGGGCGCCGCCCAAGCCGCGCGGCCGATAGCTCGCGCGGGAGAAACAGCTCCAGCCCAAGCCGATGCACGATGGAACGCGCCGGCGCGGGGCCGACGGACCGCGGGAAGGAGCCACTTCGGAGAGCCCGCGCGGAGAAGAAACGCTCGAGCGCGAGTGCCGGGCGGACGACGAGCCAATTCGCGATGACTTCGAACGGTCTGGAGTCGATGCGACGGGCGGCGAGGAGAGGTTTCAGGGAAGCACGGAAGCGCGGCCGCAGACGGAGCCAAAGGGCCCCCGAGGCCCACCTACCAGGCGCCGTGTCAATCCTGTCGAAGTCACGCAAGTCGCCCCTAAGCGAGCTGGCCTTTTCTGGGTTCAAAGAGCTCGCGTCAAGGGAGGGCTGCGGGGCTCGCCCCCCAGCTTGCTCGTTCCGTCGCGTGGCGAGATGGAGGCGCTCAAATAAAATTTCACTGGCGCAGCTCTGCTGCATTCTATCCGGTCGGTGGCGCATCGTCCTGTTTCGTAGTGTGGGTGGTCGTCGTCTCAGGGGCGTGCCATGAGTCCTGCCATCTGCGAACTCGGTCTGGACCCCCCGCCATCTATTTGGGGGCATGTCGCGGTCCTGTTCTGGGCCGCTGCGCCCGCTTCCGCAGCTTCACGATCCCCTGATAGCACTGACATCTGGAGGTGGCTTTCCCGATCCAGGCGCCCCATCATGATCTGCTGCGCCGACCTGTCCACGTAGTATCCGAGGCGAGGGGCTTGGGCGGTGAGCCCGGTGACCAAACCAAGCGGTGCTGAAGTACCTGCACGTCTATCAGGTCATGCGCGTCCTCTACCGTTTGTACCCCAGCTCCGCCCCAGCACGCAGCCACCGTGTCAAGCGCATGCGCGCGCAGGCTCATGCATTGAAAGGTTTGTGCGAGACGCTATCTTCCCGCAGTCGTGGCGGAGTCCCAGATGACGGTGGCCAGTAAGGCACTCCATCAATAAAGGCGGGGAGGGTCGCCGTCGCTACCCTTCGTCTAACGGCGCGCACCTCGTCTATGAAGTTCCTGAGGCGGTCCCTTTTCTGCCCTGGAATCCAGGCGAGCGGGGTCGGCTTGGGCCCTGGCAGGCGCGGCGTGCTCGTGGGCTGCTCCGATGTGCCCCTCGGCGCCAGGGTCAGGGTTGTTGGCGCCAGGCATAACTTCGTCACTCTTTTGCTGTCTCCTGTCCAAGCGTAGCTGTCTGATGATGGCGCGCTCCACAATGCCCCCGACTGCAGCGGCGTTGCTGTTGAGTCTGGCGGTCAAAATTTGGCCGTCGTCGTCGGCCATGGCAGCGAATCCCAGGAGCGCACGTCGGGCCGACTCGTTCTCGTCTGGGGCCATGCCCCGGCCATGCCCCGATCGACCTCATGTCTGTCGGCGCATAGCTGATCACATGCACAGACTGCTCGCGCGACACGCATGCCATTGTTGTGCTGAAGCAAGGCCGCCTCGCCGGTAACCAGCCCCAGGTCGAGCAAGCGTGCGACGACGTCGTCTGCGTCTGGGATCTGTGGACCTGTCAAGGGTGGCCCCGTACGCGGCATCGATGGCTGGGGGGGGGGGCATCTGGCGAGAGTCCACCCAGAGTTGGCGGTGATGGTATCGGTGTGAAGTGTCTCGCAGATCCGGCCCGCCCAAGCGGCGGGGGCGGCGCGCGGCCGGGCCAAGGTCCCAATGGCAAGCACCAAGTGCATCTCGGGAGGGGCAGAACCCGTGACGATGTCGGTCCGTTCGCTGAGCTTGGCCCAAGTACCCAGGAGTTCGCAGACAAGCCATAAATGGTGGAGTAGTCTGCTAGTAAAACGCAACAGGGGCGAATCTCTGCGCAGCATGCGCAAGGCATGTCAGCATCTCGTCTCCCAAGGTCAACTGGGGGCGCTGCCAGGCATTCGCGGGGGCGTCCGTCGATCTGCCATGGGGTCGCTAGTCGGACGCATACTGGGCATCGCCCTGCCCATGGCCCCGCGCAGAAGCCATGAACCACAAAAGCCGCATCTGTCGTTGAGTTTGGGATATACCGCGACGTCGCCCCGCGGCCAGGCGCCCCCTGGGTCTACCCGACCGCCCAGCCGCATTGGGGGGATCCCAGGACCCCATGGGCCGGAACGGAACCTCCCGGCGTCATCAATCTGGGTTGCTGCGCTGCTCCCGCCAGATCCGTAGTGACAGGGCGATTCACGACGCAGGCGTTGACGGCCTCGGGAGGGCCATCTAAGCTAGGGCCCGGTCGTGTCTTGCCCAGTGTAGCAGGTCCTCATGCGAGGCCCAGTGAATGACGGACTGCCTCCGCTCGTGAATGAGAGGGCCCTTTGCCCTGCATGCGTGGTAGTGGGAGAGGGCCACGGCGCGCGCGCGGGTTAGCCGGGGCGAGCAGAGTGCCTCGAGGGCCCTCGGCGCTCGAGGACCGAGCACTAGGCCGTTGCTATGTCGGCCGCCCATGTCGCACTGGAGGGGTGCTTCGCGCACATGGTGAACCTTTCCGTCGACCGCAGCCTTCCCCCCGTGGCTTGGGAATCGCAGTCCAGTGGGGAAGTCTGGTCAGCGTCGCGCATATCCAGCAGCTCGGCGAATCTCACTGCGAGTAATTGAGCCGGGCGCGGCCTTGCCCCGCCCAGTCGGCCGTCGCTGTCCTACTCGTTTGCCGACCAGACGAGCCCCGTAAAGTCCATGGGCATCAGGGCAGCGGCGCGCGGCGTGGCGGGGTCGGCTTGCCGCGGCGGGGGCGGCGTTGGAGTTGGAGGGCGGGGCATCATGGGGGGCCCGACCTGCTGGGCTGAAGGCCGCGGTGGCCTTCTGGGCGCCGCTTCCAAGCGAAGTGCATCATGAGCTGGAGCCGCCGGGTTGCCTCCTGGGAGAGAGGATGCGTTCCAGTGCCGTTCGTCCATGGACCGCGCGGAGCTCGCGCCCCACCCATGAAGTCATCGATCGTCGGGCCGCCGCCTGTTCCGCGGCAGCGCGTGCTGGTCGGGCCGCATCTCGGGCCGACGGGGATGCGGGGGCGGGCGGCCGGCTGCGCGCCGCCGAGCAGGTCGCTCCGCATCGCATTGAACCGAGCGACGAGGTGGACGGGGGTTATATAGCGAAGGAAGAGGGGAGGGAGGGCGCAGGCGAGCCGCGAGGGAGCCCCGATCCCGACCCGATCACGAGGCCGATCTGGCTGATCGCGGGCGGGTGGATCGGCTCGCGTCCTGTCCCGCCCTCAACTCAGCGGCGGAGCGGGCACTCCGTTGTCGCCGGGCTGCGTTCGTGGGAGTGGGGGCGCGTGGGGTGGGTTCACCAAGTGTCCGGCGGCGGTCCTCACCTATTTCCCGCCCCGTGTCGTCGCCCCCGTGGTGCGCGTCGTCGGGGGCAGCGGTCGCCCATCCTTGATTGTTTGCCGTGGGCACCTCCTGCTCAGCAAGATGCCTTCGCGCATTTCTCGGGGGCCATGTCGGGAGGGGGGCGGGGGTGATCGGGGAGAGTCGGCGCGGGAGAAAACGCGGGCATCCGAATCGGTTGTTGAGGCCTGGTCGTCGTCGCGGCGGCCCCGCAAGTCTGCCCCCGCGGGTCCTTGCCACGCCTGCAGGATGTCGCCAGGATCAGTGGGAGTGATGCCGCTTTCTGGGGCTTCCCCTGGCGTGTCACAAGAGGTCGGAGCTTCGTCTCTCGCGTCTTCTACCCTGGGCGTGCGACTGGTCGCCGCAAGCGCACTGCCACGGTTCGCCGCACCTCTTGACTCTTCCCCAGGTGAGCGACTGATCGCCGCAATCACAGAAAGGAGGAAGGACTCGGGACTCTCCGCAGGGGCGTCGGGCGGGCCGGAAGATCGCCACCATCTCCCCCCCAGCGCGCGACTGATCGCCGCGAGCACATGGTTCTGATCGGCAACGCTCCTCGTTTCCTCCCTGGGCGAGCGACCGATCGCTGCTGACTCACTGGGGAGGGGGGGGACTCGCGAGTCTCCTCGGGGGGCGGCGGGTGAACCGGAAGGCCATCGCGATCGCGATTCCGTCGCGACGCCGATTTGCGCGGACGGGGGCGAGCCGATCCAGCATCTCTCCGCCGTCCCCTTGCGTCGGGGACACAGCGACCATCTACCCGAATTCGCGTCGCCCCTCGCGGCCCCCTACCGACGCCAGGACGGAGGGCTCGGGGGGGCGGCCCCTCCGGTGCTGAGTCGGAAGATCCAGCAGCCAGCGTGCAAGCGCCTCCATCCATCCCTTGAGCCAGGGGGGCTTGAGCCAGAGGGCTACGGAGCTTGTGGGGATACCTTATTGAAGGACTTGGCCCCGCCAGTAAGGGGTAACTCATCAGTTTGTTCCACGGCACCCGCCGCGCAGCAACAAGGAGCGGGGGGATGACGAGAAGGAGGAGCAGGAGGAGAACTCCCTCGCACCCAGCGATACGGAAGCAAAGCCTTGCGCGCCATGACACCGACAGACATCCCGCCACCCCACACCCCCACAACGGCATGGCACCCCGAGAAACCAAGCCGAGCAGAAGGGAGAAAATGGCGCAGCCAAGTCTGCCTCCATTGGAACGCGCACCCGTGCGAAGCCGGTCAGGACGAACCGGCCAATGACGACGCGTCCGAAAACCTCTCGATTCTAGGTCTTGGTCGCCAGAAAAGGACAACAAAACCAATTGACCGGGCCCACCGCCGACACCATCGGCTGCAATTCCAGATGCATCTTCACCGTGACGAGTTTGCCGAAGAACCCACCGGCCATGGTCGCCCATCTTATGCAGTGTCCTGGACATCGCAATTTCTGGGGTGGACATGGCAGTGCTCGCGAGAGTGCTCCAGGCCTTGATCATCACAACGCTCGGGATGGCGGGCTTGCCGAAGTCCGCGCCACTGACGTTAAAATGCTGCCGAGAGTGCTCAAGGCCGCAACGTCTCGCCCATCACCTCGCGCAGCCATCCCGGCTCCGCGCGGCTGCGCCCCCCCCTGAGGAAGCGCCGCGCGAAGACCGAAGTGTGCGCACCGCGGGCCAGCGGGGCCAGGAGGAGAAAGAGAAGGGGGAGAGGGGGGAAGGAGGAGGAAGAGGTTTTAGGACCAGTCCTATTCACCGCCGAGTGAGAAGGGGGGAATCAAAACTAAAAACCTCCTGAGACTAGCTGCCCCGATGCGCAACACGCAACACGTGACGTGGACACGGAGCTCAACACAACACGTAGACTGAACGCGTAGGTATGGCGATATGCATTCGCCAAAGCGTGGGCCAACACGGCGAGCCAACACACAGTGTGTCAACACGGACGTTTTGAAGACGGTACGGGGTGCGTTTCGAGACGGGCGTATCAGGGTAACTAACTCCTCCCCCATCCTCCCCTCCCCCCCGCCTTTGGGATACCAGAAGTTACCGATGCCCGATACCGCCGCCACTCCTCGGACCTCTCTCCTGGGGCGCATTCTGACCAAGATTTCGAGGCGACTCCAGCGGTGGCGACGAGGGCCTTCAAGTAGACCCCGAAGAGGCGACAGCGAGGGAACGGTGGCTGCAGCTATCGGTACGCTCTCCTCCTCTGACTCCTCCCCCCCTCGCTCTCGCCTACCCCCCCCGCCCACTCCGGCGACAGCGCGACGCCGTCTTCGCCGCGGGGGGGACCGTGCGCCCGTCGGCGGCAGCCCGCCCCCCAGGCGCCGGCACTGGCGCGCGCTCCCTCACAGCCCAGGCGCGCCGCAGCCCTTGGCGGCCATGCCTCCGACCTTCCGCAGGCCGCCGAGGGCGGACCTAAGACGAGGCCAGAACGAGGACAAAGTCGGGTTCGGATGAATCGAGAATCTCTGAGATCTGGCGGCTCTTGAGGATGTCTCGGGCGCCGCAGCCTTCTCAGCGCGTTCTGGAACGCTCTGAAAGCGTTCGTGAACGCTCTGGAACGGATTATCCTCGTGCTAACCCCGTCCGAGGACCAGAGGTCCGGGGCGGTCTGGAGCGAGCACGTCTCGAATCTGGCCTCGCCCTCGACGCCGAAGAACCCGAGGCGCAGCTTGTGGACGAAAAGCCGGGGGCACCACTCGGGGGGCCCTCCCTCGCCGTAGACGGGGTCGCCCACGACCGGGTTGCCCAGGTGGTGCATGTGGGCCCGGATCTGGTGCGTCTTCAGGGTTACCATCCGGCAGTGCACGAGGGAGTACGCCTCCTGGGTCTCTGGGCACTCGTACTCGGCGACGACCTCCCAGACGGTGATGGCGGGCTGGCCCTCCGCGCTCACCCTGACGCGCTTCTCCGACTCATACCTGCTGGAGTCGATCGGGGCAGTGCACTCCCCGCGGTCCGTGGAGAAGGTGCCGTGAACGAGGGCGACATAGTCCTTCAGCACACCGAGCACGATCTGTCGTTTGGCATGCTCGTAGCCTCGGAGAGTCTTCCCCACCAGGAGGGGCCCCGACACGTCCACGTCGAGCCGGTGGGCCATCCCCCGGTCGCTCGCCTGGTCGCGCGCGGCGTCGCAGGTGGGGTCGGCGCCGAACCGCAGCAAGAGCCACGCCTGGAGGGCCGGCACAACGGCGTCGCACATCAGGTCGCCCACCTTGGCTCTCCTGGCCAACCCAGACAACTTCGCCCACCTGTTTGGATGTCCGGAATGGGTACGGAAAGTATGGGTACGCTGCCCAAGAACAACAACAGCGGCAGCGGCCGCTGTTGGGCAGGCGATCTGTCTCGAATGGACAACGACACCGACAGCGAGCTGTTCAGAATGAGCAGGAGATGCTGTCGGCCTTCGTACCGAATCTGTCCGTACCCATTTCGGTCGCACCGAACCTGGGGTCGAGCCCCGTGGGCTGCGACAGGCACGACCAGCCGGGCGGCTTCAGCACCACCGCCAGGTCCGCGTCCTCGTAGAGCAGGCGAGGCTCATCGCGGAGCGGCGCCTCGGCGTTGGACGGCGGGGCCTTGACCGCGCCGCGCCCCGGCTTGTCGAACATGGGCCGGGCGTGCGCCCCCGGAGCAGGCAGCGGCTCTGAGGCGGCGGACCTGTCCCAGCCGCACAGGTGGGCGACGCAGCTGTGCTTGAGATCGTCGCAGCAGCCGCCGTTCACGCACTGCCGTGGTCCGCACTTCGCCGCACCGCTGGTCTCCCCGAGGCACACCGAGCAAGACAGCTGCTTGCACGCTGACTTCAGCGCCTTGTAGCCCGAGGCCCCCTTGGTCTTGTCGTTCTCGACCTTGAGCCACAACGGCACGAAGCGTTGGGAATCGCTGTTCCACACCGGGTACGCCGGGTGCAGGGCAAGACAGCCCAGCAGCCACTTGACGCCGTCCATGGTGACCCTGTTGCGGGAGAGATGTAGCTCCAGCGCGGGCGCCTGGCTCGAGCCCATGAGGTATCTAGCTATACACCTCGCGCCCTCGTTGCCGATGTTGTTTCCTGTCAGTCTGAGCACGTCGCAGCGCACGCCGTACTTCTCGAGCATATTGCAGACCGCCTTGGTGCCGTTGGCGCTGAGCTTGTTCTCAGAGAAGTCGATCGTGCTGGCCTTGAAGCGCACCCTGCCACTGCGCGCGCCCGCGCTCTCGCCACCGCCTTCGGCGGCAAGGCGGCGGCCCATCCAGTCGCACCACTCTTTCATCCCCGCGTCGCCAAGCTCGACCTCTGGGGGTGCAAAGAAAAATACAGTAGCACCCCGCAGTTGCGGATAAGAGTGAGGGGGCGGCGGGTGCGTCGGCTGTCTGCGAGGCTCTGAAGAAGCCTGCCGCAGGCGCATAATTTTTCAAGCTATAAAACGAGCCCGCCACAGGCGCCGATGTTTCCCCAAACAGCTTGCTGAACGGTGTGCTGTTGTGATAGAAGCTAACTCCGGCTGGGGAAATCAAAGCCAAGACGTCCTCAAACAAATTTGGTGGTCTGGGCTGTTTCGCCTGAGACATCCTCGCAACTCTCGTTTCTGAGTTGTCTGGGATTGGGCGTTTCGCGTGAGACATCCTTCAAACTCGTTCCCAGATGCCGCGCAAGAGGTGGTCTGGCCTGTTTCGCCTGAAACATCCTCAAACTCTGAGCTCCCAAATGCCGCGCGAGAGGTGGTCCGGCCCGTTTCGCCTGAAACATCCTCGAAACTCTGAGTTCTGAGATGCCGCGCAAGAGGTGTGGTCCGGCCCGTATCGCCTGAGACATCCTCCAAACTCTGAGCTCTGAGATGCCGTGCGCGAGGTGGTCCGGCGCGTTTCGCCTGAGACATCCTCGCAACTCTGAGTTCTGAGATGCCGCGCAAGAGGTGGCCCAGCCCATTTCGCCTGAGAGATCCTCGAAACCCTGGGCTCCGAAATGCCACGCAAGAGGTGGTCCGGCCCGTTTCGCCTGAGACATCCTCCAACCCTGATATGCCGTGCGCGAGGTGGTCCGGCCCGTTTTGCCTGAGACATCCTCGCAACTCTGCGCTCTCTGATGCCGCGCGAGAGGTGGTCCGGCCCGTTTCGCTTGAGACATCCTCCAAACTCTGAGCTCCGAGCTGCCGCCCAAGAGGTGGTCCGGCCCGTTTCACTTGAGACATCCTCGCACTTTTGCATTCCGAGGTGCCGCGCGGGAGGTGGTCCGGCCCGTTTCGTCAGAGACGTCCTCCAAACTCTGAGCTCTGAGATGCCGCGCGCGAGGTGGTATGGTCCATTTCGCCTGAGACATCCTCGAAACTCTGAGCTCTGAATTGCCGCGCAAGAGGTGGTCCAACCCATTTCGCCTGAGACATCCTCGCAACTCTGACCTTGGAGATGCCGCGCGCGACGTGGTCCAGCCCGTTTCGCCTGAGACATCCTCAAACTCTGAGCTCTGAGATGCCTGCGCGAGGTGGTCCGGCCCGTCTCGCCTGAGACATCCTCGCAACTCTGAGCTCTGAGATGCCGTGCGCAAGGTGGTCCTGCTTGTTTCGCACAAGACATTCTCGCAACTTTGAGCTCCCAGATGCCGAGGAAGAGGTGGTCCAGCCTGGGGGCCCAGAAGACCACATGTTACATATCCTCCCTGGGACCCTGGGAGCCCCAGGAGGCGCCAGAGAGTTCCAGGAGGCCGCAGGACGCCCAGGACAGGCCCGAGGGGTCCCCAGGAAATTCCCAGAAGGCTCCCAGGAGGCCCCAGGACGCCCCCTATCACAACGTGTCAAGTTAATACACATCCGGTGCCGATTCGTTGATTTTTCCTGCTCTTGTGGCCCCCCCATGTCGAAGGGCCCAAACGGCCACATGTTCGATGTCCCCCCCTGGGAGCCCCAAGAGGCTTCAGAAGGCCCCATGTGGAGTCCATGGGGCCACAGGAGGCCCATGAGGAAGCTCCAGGAGGTCTCAAGGAGGCCCCAGGAGGCCCCCGCAACCCGGAGCTCTGAGACGCCGCGCTCGAGGTGGTCCGGCCCGTTTCGCCTGAGACTTCCTCGCAGCACGTTTCGCCCGAGACATCGTCGCAATTCTGGGGTCCGAGATGCCGCGCGCGAGGTGGTCCAGCCCGTTACGCTGGGGACATCCTCGCAAGTCTGGGCTCCGAAAGGCCGTTCGGGATGAAGAGGAGGTGGATGAGGAGGAGGAGGAGGACGAGGAGAAGAAGAAGGAGATGGAAGGGAGAAAGAGGAGGATTATGTGGACGAGGGGACAGGCAGGAGGAGGGGAGGAGGAAGAGGAGGAGAAGGGAGAAGGAAGGGAGTTCCAAGAGAGGACCTAACGGGAGACGGAAATGGCGTGGACTTGTCAGAACGTGTGCGAAAGGTTGTCCGGCCCGTTTTGTTTGAGACACCCTCACAATGCGAAACTCGAAGATGTTGCGCGCGAGATGATCTGGCCCGCTCTGCCTGAAACGTTTCGAAACACAGGGGCTCCAATCACAACCTCTCTCATTATTTGTCCCGCCTCCCTCTTCCCGCTCCCCGCCTGGCTCCTCCCGCCTCCCGCCTCCCGCTGCTGCGCCTCTGCCTCCGCCTCCCCGCCCCCGCCGTCGTCGCGTCTGCCGCCTAAGCATCCGTCATGCGCGCCCTGCCTTCCGCCCTCCCCAGACATCCGACGTCACCATGTTTTTTTTTGAGACGTGCGCCGCGTACCTCTCGAGATCATCCCTGGGGGAACCATCGCGACATGCCACCCCCGCCCTCCCCCGCTTCCTCGTACAGATGCTCCCGGGTTCACAACATGGCGGCGGAGCCTCTCACAGTGCCGATCCGACAGCTTACTCGTCGACCAGGTGCGAAATAGTAGGACAACCTCTAGCGATAGCTTCCTGCTAGGCATGCGTCACACAAACCTTCGTGTAAACATCATGTGCAAACATCATGTTATAATGTTATAACATGCCATGCCAACCCGCACTGGACGGGCACGCGATCGACCTTGGAAACCGCAGTGGGTTTAAAAACCCTGTTTGGGGATACTGCGCTCCGGCTATAATTTCGTTCCAAAAAAAATGAATGGGTCACGGGTTGGGTCGCAGGTGGGTCGACGGTGGGTCGCGGGCCGAGGAGCGGGTGGGTCGCGGGTGGGTCGCGGGTGGGTCGCGGGTGGGTCGCAGGTGGGTCGCGGGTGGGTCGCGGGTGGGTCGCGGGTGGGTCGCGGGGTGGGTCGCGGATGGGTCGCGGGTGGGTCGCGGGGTGGGTCGCGGGTGGTGGGTCGCGGGGTGGGTCGCGGGTGGGTCGCGGGTGGGTCGCGGGGTGGGTCGCGGGTGGGTCGCGGCTGGGTCGCGGGTGGGTCGCGGGTGGGTCTCGGGGTGGGTCGCGGGGTGGGTCGCGGGTGGGACGACGACAACAAACAACAGCAACAACAACACCATTCATTATAAGACTGTTCGCTCTTACTTGCCCGCGTGTCATTCAAAACGAGTTCCCCACACCCTCGATACCCGCCCTTTTTGTCTTCGATCACACCCCGTTTGAGGGGATTCGTTCTCTTTGATGGGGGCGGCGGCCTTAGACAGGCGGGCAAACCTGAACGGGCGGACAATCCTTCGTGGGCGTACATGTGCCCGCCATTGGAATAGGTTTGTGCCCTGCAAAAATAAGAGGGGGAGAACGAGGGAGAGTGTGAGGAAGGGAGGGGGAGGGACGAAGGAAGAGGGACAACGCCGGGAGAGAAGGAGCGAAGACGGGGGCGGCTGATTAGAGGCAGAGAGAGAGAGAAGGAGAGAGAGAGAGAGAGAAAGAGAGAAAGACAGATAAGAGAGGTAGAGAAAGAGAGAGAGAGA